TCAAAGCCTTATTTTTATTGGCACTTATCAATAAGACATGTCCTGAATCTTTAGGAAACTTAGGTGTCATTCAATGTTGGGACAATGAACTTCACCGCTAAGCTATACAGGCCATGACTGAATTCCTATTCAGATGAATAATGTATTTGAATAAGTCATTTTATGATAATCACTTTACGTATTGCTTTCTTCTAATTTTCTTAAACATAGTAACTGAAGATTAACTGAGTGTGAAAGCAATGAGTAGCCAGCACACTATTGTTGTTTCCTCTGAACAATTTATTGCATAATATTTTATTCTGCAATGTACAGACATCGAATTTTTATTTGTACTTGTAGTATCCCACTGTCTAAGAGCCTGAACTGGATTTATCGCTACTTTGTTTTAATGTGAATAGAAATGTTCATTAATTTCCAAGTTCCTTCGACTGACAATTCACAAACGGGACAAAATGCACATCACTGACTTCATTGTTGGTTTTCTCGTAAAGCTACATATGTTATATCTGGTCATCCGACGAAGGCATCTCGACGGACATCGAGGAACTTAATCTTACTTAACCTACTAATTTTGTTCAAACGTTAAGCTGTATCCATCAGAAAGTTGATGTCACTTGAAGTTTGGTGTACGTTCGATTTTTGACAGCTGAGTTGCTCTGTTTATCAAGTAGGATCTCTCTGATTGTCACTCAGTACTTGGTGGTAATTTTGTCATTATATTGACATACAGTTCCTATTCAGATACACTATTTTTGAAGAGTCTATTAACGACGAAAGCAACTTAGATGGGAACCCATTTTCAAAAACTTTAATAGAAATTTGTCTCAGTGAGACAAACAAAACTGATAGTGAGAACACGTATTTATTAATCGGAAGGAAACGTGGTCTAGTTTCAACTTAAAACTGAAATTACTGGACTGCATATCAAAACGTAATATGGATGGATTGTAAGAACAAAACTAAAATACAATGCAAAGTGAGATAGCCATGAATAAAAGAAACGGTTTCATGATGCTTCATGGCTGTTGGTATCTATCCTCGATCACACGAAATTTTGACTTTTTATCCTGCAATAATGACAACTGATTTATGGCACATTTTGAAATGTTGCCTACATGGGGTTCTGATAGCTTAAATTAAATATAACTGTTTCATTCTTGTTTTGATTACACCGGTGTCTATGCATCTTTTATTTGACAATAAACTCACAACTTCATTTTTATGAAATCACTTAATTCACTGTCTTTCACTTAACACGCTGGGATTAATTTAAATAATTTATAATGTTTCACTTAATGGTTTTTGAAATTCAACGACAACTTAGTTACCAAAAGCGACAAAACTGAACAAACCAATTAATCTATCATTAACCTCTAGAAGCCTAATATATATATATATATACAGATTCAGTTGAATGTGTCTTGTTACTAAGTCTGCATTTGGGAAGAAGATTACACATACAGCTAAACTACAAACTGTCAAGATAAGGGTGACGATTGGTTTGTTTGATGACATTCTTTTCATTCTAAAGGTATTCTTTATTGATCATTTCATAAACTTATGCTAACTGTAGTCGTATTTGACTTTAGATATAGTGAGAAAGTCTAAGCTAGATAGCCTTGTTTTTCTCAACACGTTCATTTCAACTTCGAATTTCTGTTGACATATGTCACTGATTGCAATGAATGTGATCTTTTTTTTTCATTTTCTCACAACTCATATACAAAACAGAAATTGACTTCCTTTAAAGATTAAAATGTGAATCGAAGTGTCATTCACCTTATCAGTCACACAACCTTATTTAAGTTACGTAATAGATTTGAGTGATTTTTTTTATAAATAAAGTATTTTTAATAGGGAGTAAACTTTAATCATCCTAATGACTGAACGATATTTGTAAACAGAGAAATCGGAAATGCGTTTCGAAGTGCACTCATAAGTTTTCAAAAAGTGTGATGACTCATGACTATTTGTCTTCTTTTTATCCTTTACTTGACAGGTGTTCTAAGCATTTTTAATATTCCATGACTTGACACTGATTTTGTTCGACAGAAAAACGTGAAATGATTTGTGTAAATATAAGTGTGTAAACTTTGAATTCATCACTGATGATGAGGTCTTCAGTATGTGATGAATTGCTCACAGATGTTTTATAATTTTAATGTTTATAGTATCCCTGTGATTTTTCGTGTCTATAAACTTGAAACATTCTTGTAAAGGTTAGACACTAGTGGATAAGAATAATTCAGTTTTTGTTTACGGTCACTTTGTCAGTATATTTGAATTCATATAAATCTATAGATATACACTGCAATCTGTCATTGAGTCATTTTCCTATATTGTGTGTCTATCTATCTATACCAATGCGAATAGTGTCTAACCTCTTTGACATAATTACATGTCTCAGTCAAAAGTTTGTTCTAAGATTGAATGGTTATTGATAGTGAAATACTGAGAAGTTTCGGATCACTGTAAATTTCAAAAGTAATCTTTGAAGGTGCTCATAATTCAACTTTGAGTTATTCAATGTGAGCTGGAATAACGCAAACGCTTTAATATAAACTGAACAGAGCTAATCAGATTATTAGCTAGTTGACTGATAATTGGCTTGCACATATATTCACCTGATAATCACTTTGAATAGACGTTCATGAGAAATCATCTGTGTGTATGTATGAGGAAATGAAATGTTTTTATCCACAGAAAAGAAATTATGTCTATTAATAGGGAAGATGATTTATTAAAAAAAAAATTGAAAGAAAGACTATATTATCGAAAATTATTTTATGTCTATGTGGACATAATTTTTACATTATCATCTCAACCTAACTTTCATTATTATGTCTGGTCCAAAAATAAAGCAAATAAATTACATAGAAAAACCGTTATCTGTATGAATTGTTAGTTCACACTGTACCCGTGGACTTTAGTAGACTTACAGTTTATGGAGCTCCTCAGTATTTTAGAAGTTCATGCAAACAGTTACTCAGAATAGCAACAAATCAAGTGCGATGTAGGTGTAATCAGGAAATTTTAAGCAAGTAGAATTTATCAGATGACTGTATAGTGTAATTTATGAAAAGCATACACAAACCAATTATATGAAACTGAAAAGTGGAAAATGAACATTTATTCTTATTATAAAGAACAGTCTTGCTCTCTGTTGAAACAGTAGAGCTGTGCTTTCAAATTCTCCAAATGTTAACAGTCAGGAGCTTTAGTTTAATGTGGTTCTCTCCAATAATCGACAATCCTGACAAAGAATAACTTTTTTAACTGAAAGACTAAACTTTCAGTTTTGTTATCAAGTGATGGTTTGCAAACCAACTCTAGATAATTAGTCCGATGCTCACCACCATCTGATTCTATGCAGGATTTTATTTGGGGTTCTAGTCAGGAGTCGTGGTCAGCGGCGTTTACTAAATGAGGCAGGAGAACAATCACTCATGTAGGACATTGACTAATGATTGTGCTGTATATATCGAGAATTGGTAGAATTTGGATTTCATTGGCCGTCGGATCGGACTATAGTGGCTGAATGGTCTCTGAGCCTACCTTGTAACAGGGAGATCCTGGGTTCGAACTCCGGAGGATGCACGCTGCCGAAGAGTCCCAAACAAGGACGAAATGGCTGTCGAAGACCGCATGCTCTCCCAATGGTTCCATAACTGGTGTCACCTCGTGATCAAACCTGTAACCAATCAATTTCCATTTTAGTCTAGATTCACTATGAACTTGTCACAGTCATTGCATTCTTCTCATAATCAGCTTATAGATACGCATAGTGAACTTTATCGTAAGAATATTTAATTCTCAAATTCTCTCACTAGATAACATTACAATTATAATTCTGGAAGTGTTCAGTCAGAGAAATATACTTTTAGTGTATGAAGAGTATTTTCAGTGTGTGTAGGTATTTTGATGGATGAGTCAGTGGTTGAGAAAGTGATCTGGGATCTTTGTCATACTAATTTTTTCAGTAATGCCATTCTGTAATGGCGTTGCAGCATAGTTGACCTTAGCAGCAGAATTGTTTATTTGCTAAAGTGACATGGAATGACGGAAACATATAAGAGCTTTGCATTGAAGCATGAGCTAGCGAAAATTATTCATCTTTCGCTTCTTTTGTCTTCGTTTCATGTTTCTCATGTTGTTTCACAATTATCTTCATTCTGTCTCTCCACAAACTTGCTTCACTAATCACATCAGTACATCATTCCTATCAATTTAGCCGTAATATAAACAACACCAGTATGCCACTTACAAATTCATATCACTAGCACATAGCAAATATCTATAGTAGAAGACTTCATTGTAGGTTGTACAAATTTGACTTACATGTTCACAGGATTTCATCATGAGCTGACATTAGTTAGAAAACCAGTGGAAAACCTAGGAGTACTGCACAGCTGTTTCGTCCTAGTTTAGGACTCTTCTGCGGCACACACCAACCGGGGTTCGAACCCAGGAGCTCCTGGTTACAAGGCGAGCTTCTATACCATTAAGCCACTGGGACCCGATCCAATGGCCGCCCCATGAATTCTAACTTCTGCCAGGTTTTCCAATGGTTCTCTAACTAATGTCAGCTCATGATGAAATCCTGTAACCAATCAAATCCCTACAAACCAACACTTGAATTACATGTTCATATTAGTAAATAAGTTGAACTCACTACTTCTGATCACCTGATATCACATTTAAATGATCTGATGACCCATTGAATAGTATAAATATGATTAGATCAGTGCAGTACCGACAAATACTGTCAATATAACGTGCCTAAAGTTAAAGTTAAAAAACACACACACTTTGCTAATGATAAAATGCTGACAAATTTATCTTTGAGTGATCTGAAGGTATAATTTCGCGAACTGTGCAAAGTGTAGACTCTTTTAAAAGTCTAATGAACGTTATTGTTTTATAATGGTTTAATCATTTCATTTTCAACAAAACTTATATGAATGCAATTTTAATCATTTTTGCCTGGATTTATATTTCAGCCACTGAACACTATGCATATCGAAGGAAGGAGAGTGACCAAACTTGTAAGTTAATGTGAATATTAATCATACTTTTATTTTTGAAGATTTTTTATATATAACATAGTAAAATCGATTTTCTTAAATCGTTTGCCTGGCTAAAGTACATGACATTATGTAATAAGGTGTAGATAACACGATAACGAAACAAATAAAATGCACAAAATGTGAGTCTTTTCTTATGTGAGAAAGCTTGTGTAGGATAATTTTTTAGTGTAATCCCGATATAAAATGTGATAGCATTATGTCATTTGAAGTGACCTGTTAAAGAATAGTCATCTAATCGATAAGTGAACAGTCTTAAAGTTCTTTTTTCATTTACAACAAAAAGGAAATATCGAAAAATGTTTTATCAGACCAGAGGACATTTAGGTCTTTAGGTCTTTATAAACAAAAAACCTCTATTATAATGAACATATATGATTTTATCCATGTCGTGCACTCAACTTCTCTGGGTTTTGTTCATGTAATTAATTTCCAGTCTTCCCCTCGTTTCATATGCTATTATTAGATTTATTTCTGTCACTTGCCTTGATTCTAAACTAACTGCCCTTGTTAGAACATGGTAGATAGTCCCACCATGTTGAGTTTTGACCTTTATTTTCAAAAGCGTTGTATGTATGAATTTCGCTCATGTATATAAATGAAGTAAAAAGTTGTGTGAGTGAGTTGATATGATTATGAGCAGTGAATTGTGCTCGAAACATTGTCATCAGTTAATATTAGTGTATGACACTGTGTGATTTATCAAAATAAAGTCTTATCTCTAATGGAGTTATACTCTACAACAGTGCCCAAGTTTCATACTTATATCAGGTGTGTGTTTTTGTTTCCTATAAAGGTTTTGTCTGAACTAATTTCCTTTTTCATTCCATTATTTCATATTACCCAAATTTGCAGTGGTTTTGAATAATCGGGGCCCCATACTGCTTTTTTAAAAAGAGGCTGCTCCAAAAGTTACACTATCCGATTATGAAGCCTATTCTTGTTACTCGTTATTCAGTATCCATAGGTAATTAAAAAAACTTTTCTCACCCATCAGACGAATTTAGTTTGTATGTAACATTGGTTGAGGTGGTATAACTGTCTGATAACCTTATTATAGATGGACATATAGGTTATATTGATAAAGTTATTAGCACTAAATAGCGAAACGTCAGTAAAAGCAATATCGTTTTGTTTTTAATTCATTGGAAAATACAAAAATCTTTATTATAATGGATGTATAGGTGTTTAAATTAGTATTGATATTTTTCCTTGTTTGTGCGTAATGGGAAATTCTCAATGAAGCGTTCGATCGGATAATGCTTCTGTCGGGCAGTTTGATCTGGGTAGTCGCTGACGAGGTTGTCACATAAGATATAAGGCGGCCTGCTTAAATCATTGGGCTACCGAAATTACTTTCCCCCAAAATACTTAATTTCATCTGGATTTATCACTGTTTTAATCGTCCAGTTATATCAAATGACCTATGCATAAACTTGCGCGATGATGTAACTTTCTCTCAAGTAAACGATGTGCAATTCTTCAACGAAATGAAGATATACTTCAGATTATTAATTTACATGTGAATCCTGTGTGAAGAAAAAAGTACTTTGGAGCTGAATACGCTGAAAATTTTTGTACCGTATATTCGCATACTGTCTTAAATGAAGCTTTACCATTATTTTTATGATATTATTATTATTATTAACATACATGAATCGAATCTCTACTGTTAGGATATTGTTGACATAACCACTTAAAGCAATCAAGGAATGCTGGGAAAACTAACATAGGCCATGGTGGTAGATTAAAGATCAAATAACTTAAACTGAAAAAAAAAATAGAAAACTATACTCATAAATATCAGTAGCGTATGACATATTTCTACAATTTTCTAATAGTTTACGCCTCTAAGTATTATTTTAGCATATCTTTCGAATACATAGCTTTCTCGGGCTACTTTTCACCACTCTTGTTGTTCTAAAATCAACTTCTACTATTACACCTGGAGAAATATGACTGGTCATGATAAACATTTTATAGCGGTCAAGTTTATTTTCCAGTGTGAGTGAAAAAATCTGTTCCTCTTTGTTAATTAATTATCAAAATCAAATTATGCTTTTTTAAAAGGTGACCTTGTGTCGATCAACACAAGCTGACTGGGATCTCAGTGAAGCTTACTTACTTTCTTAGATAAACACACACTGAATATGTAATAAGCGTTAGTTTATTTTCCCTAATGAAATAAATAAGCAAATAAAGTATTCTGAATAATCTAACTCATTATATTCCCTCTGATTCCTTATTCATTTTTCTGTTTATTCCCGAAATGTTTTTCGGTTATATGTTTTCAGGAAACAGCAAGAATGAAAGTTAACACATGGTCTCATATATTTGCATGAATTTTTTTCTGCCACATCTTTTCCCTATTCAAAACAACAATTCCATTAGGATTATTTAGCTGTGGTATTTGCTTAGATAGATTGTTCATGGATTTTTCTGTTATCTATTGTATGGAATAATTGAATTTTGCGTATCACTTCCAAAGTGGACAAAAGAACAGATGAGTCATAACTGACAAAGATCGGTTAAAAAAAAAATATTTGCTGAGGAAGAGAAAAGTATAAATTTGAATGCACTTTGCATTGAAATTTTACTTACTGGCATGGTTTTTCATCTCACAAAGATATTCCATGAAACCACTTACTAAGAGTCAGTCTTATTCTGACAACTAAATCTCATAAAGGTAACCTTTACTGGAGATATATTATCGTGTATTAAGTATTACTGAGACTCTCTTGAGATTTTTTAGACTCATCAAAACACAGGTTTTCATTGCTTATTATTTTAGATAAAATGTTGAAATCTACAAAGCTTCATTTGTTCCACGCTTACGTTTTGACACTAAGAAGCTAGGTCTATTTTCAGTTGTAAATAAACTCTTAAAACCATCCAGTTCTGAAATGTGAAACACCAAACTCACATTAATCACATTGTGTCTGGTCCCTTGTATAACTGAATGATGTATGCAAACTGGTAACGAGATGTTAGGTTTTTAATTTGTATCATGTCAACAAAAGGACAATTTTTGAGTGAGATAAAAGCGCCTCACATGACAGTCAATGAATTTAAATCCGATTATGTTACTTCTAGCACTAGGTTCATTCGATGAAGCGACAGCACAAAGGTTCGACCATTATGTGTATTAGCAGTAAAACAAGGAAAGAAACTGAAGTCAAACTTAATGCAGTTAGCAAGACTGGCAAAACAAATTTCAAAATTGATAAAAACATAGTCAGTTCAAAGGCTGATAGGGGCCATTCAGTTGATGTGACGAATAAGTCGGACTGTATCATTAAAGTCAACGAACACATTACAAAGGGCCAATATGAAGAAATTAAGAAGCTGTTAGATAAAGTGATGAATAAGTTCAAGAAATCTACAGCAGATTTGGTACACTGAGTGAAGCTGTCACTGGGTTAGTTTAAACGGTGTACCTTAATGTCTGAAATTCATTTCCCATACGTATTATTTAGTTGCCTATCATTCATATTAACTATACACTGTCCTCGAAATGATAAATAAAAGAGATATAGATGATAGCCATAAATGCATATATTTACAAAAGAACAACAGTCAAACAAATTAAAAATAGTTTAGTGTGAAACAGTACATATTCGCTGGGAAAAAAATCCCAGTTGTAGATTTTTTATGGCTACATGATAGTCAACATAAAGTCCACTAATCGTTCTATCCTCAAGATGTGGATCACTCAGTTATCAGAGGCACTGATGCCGTCTTTGCAGTTTTCATCATCACCCGATGCTTCAGAAGAAACTGGATATAATCTTTCCATGCAATGATCAAGATTGTACTCCTTTGACCACCTTTGGCCTCACTGAGAAATATCTGAGTTTGAGCAATACATTTCCTGGTGACTACATGTACTTCGTGCTGACAGGTGACAACAGAAAACCAGATATAGCAAAGGGATTACTTCTTACCAGCTGATACTAACCACTCAATACAGAAGTATAGTAAACTGTTGGGTAATTTAGTAAGCATCATGTAAATAAACTAAATAACTTGACTTTATCAACATTATAAAGTCATGGATTACACCACTGTCCACCATGGCCAAATCATCTCTATGTTATTGACTAACAGTGAAAGACAGGACTAGCGTTCTATCAGTTTTTGCACTGATTTGCTAAATGTTCATGTGTCCAATTCAGAAATGCGTCTACTGAGGTCATATGTTATTAGTTAGCGATTAATTTGTTCTAGTAAAATCAGAGACGGGGAGTTAAGATTAATAGACAGTAACAAAGTGATATGCGCTATCCAAAAAGTGAACGCTTCTTAAACCATGTGTCTCGTCTATAAGTCTCTATCTGTACCATTATCTAATTTGTGTTTAGTTGAAATGTGCCGGATAGGGTGAAGTGATCTAATGAACGGATAAAGTGAATTCATATTGATCGAGATTGTGGTGTAGCTATATTTAACAATTAATTTCAGTCATAGATCTTTGGTTTCCTTCGTCAATGTTTACAAAACAAGAAAATTTTTCATGCATAGTGACATTAAATATCCCTCATAGAGATCTCACAGTCTACACAGTATGATTAAATTTACTGAGTCGCAAACTCTGATTTGTACATTGGAACAGAAAACTAATTAGAAATAATTGAGAACAGGTGAGCAGTAGTTGTTACTATTCAAAAAATTATTTGAATATCACTTACAGATTACTTTCAGGATATGATACATGCTTTAAATTATTAGGAACACTGATACAAACATTAGTAAGACGAAATATGACTGCCAGTTAATTTGAAAACAGTAACTTCCAAAATAAATTACAAGTTGATAATTTCATATGCATGGGTATTTACAACTCAGTCGGAGCATTTCATCGTAGGTGAACATATTAAGAATCAACAGCAGTGATCTTATACATTTAGTGACTTTAAGAAGGCCACTGATTGTAGGTGTTTTGGTTGCTTTCACAGCAGTAA